CCGATGCTCGCTCCCTTCTCCCAGGCCTAACCACAGGTTCCCGTACCAGCGCTGGGGGGACCACCTTCTCTGAGGGGGCACCTTGTGCTTGGCCGTTTACCTGCCGCCGTGAGTTGTTGGGGTCAGCACACTGGTGATCTTTAGGAGAGAGAGACTAATTTGATGGCACCCTCACCTCCCAAACATCTGGCCGTATTTTCGGACATTCTTCCTTCCTAAGTAGGCCTTGAATCCTCCCCCTCCTTCCCTGCGGGGTCCCTGTGTGGCCTGGCTCCTGCCTGATCCCCCACCCGCTTCCCACTGCCAGGTTCCCAGGGCTGCTGTACAAATTCCCACCAGCGGGGAGACTCAGGACAGCGGAAGTGCCCTCCGTCACCTGTCACAGTCCCGGAGTCTCGCAGCCTGAAATCAGGGTGCTGGCTAGGCCACGTGCCCTCGGAGACCTGTAGGGGAATCTTGCCTCTGGCTTCTGGCGCTTTGCCGCCAGTCACTGGGCTTCCGGGCTTGTGGCTGCATCTAGTCCTGTCTTCACATGACCGGCTGCCTCTGTACATTTCTGTCTGTTCAAATTTCTCCTTTTTAAAAGGGTACCGATCAGATTACGACCCACCCCATGACCTCAACTCGATCATCTGCCAAAACCCTATTTCCAACTGAGGTCCCAATCCAGGTCCTGGAATTAGGGCTTCAGTGTATGCTTGGGGAGACACAGCTCACCCCGTCACCCGCGCTCGAGTCCACCCTCTGTGTGGCAGCCCAGGGCAAAGCGCAAACCTGACCGTCCCGCCTCTGCTCCGAATCCTGCCAACACCACGGAATATTATTCAACCATAAAAAGGGGTGAAACTCTGACACAGGCCACAGCCTGGATGAACCTTGAAAACACGCTGAGTGAAAGAAGTTAGATGCAAAAATCGTATATTGCGAGAGTCTATTTATATAAAATCTCCAGAACAAGGCCAGAAAATGGATTGGTGGCTGCCTGGGGTTGGGGGTTGGGGGCCAGGTGGGGAGTGACTGTTAAGGGGTAGAAGTTTGCTGTCGGGGTGGTGAAATGTTCTACAATTGATTGTGGCGATGGAAACACAATTGTGAAGATACTAACACCGCCGAACCGCCCACTTGAAGTGGATGGATTGCCTGGTATGGGAATTACATCTCAATAAAGCTGTTAAAACAAAGAACAAAACCACCTCCCGTGGCTCCCCGGCGCCCTCTGGAGGGAGCCTGGGCTCACTGCCTGCCCCGCATTCTGAGGCGGCGAGCTGGGTGACCCAGTCATGCTGTCGTGGACACATGATTAACGCATAAGCGGCTACAGAGCCACACACAGAGGGACCTGCCATGGGCACGTGCAAGGAGGCCTCCCAGTTACAAACACTCACCTTGCCAGTTGATCCCACCTAGATACATGTAGCGTGTGTGGTACACATTCACACAGACAGACATTCCAGGACAGCTGCCCGCGGCCCACCATTCCTCAGGGATGGAGCACCAGGGGGCCGCGCCGGGCACGCGCCCCTGGGTCAGAGCCACGGCCCGCCCCGCACTGCCACGTGACTCCACACTTGTCTACAGCGCAAAGCCACCCTGTGGTCGCGTCCCCCTCCCCAGACCACCTGGCCTGCCCACTCAGCCCCACACAGGCCACCCCACCCACCCATCGGGGTCCCCACTTCCCCGGGCCGGTCCCTGGCACCCCAGAACTCGGGCGAGTCTGGTTCTATACCCCAGGAACTGGAGGAGGTATTTTTAGTTACAATTAACGTGCTGCCCAGTTTCCCTCTTCCCCGGTGGCACATCTAATTGGTTTAATTAGGATTAAGTGAGAGGCATTTCCAGTTGCAGACAGGAGGAAGGGGGGTTCCCTCCCCCACTCGCCATGTCCCCCAGCCAGGTGGGGGTGCAGGAATACAGCCCCCTCCCCTTGGCCGGGCCCTGTGCCTCCCCCTGACCCTCCTTCGCCTGCCTCCAAAGAGGGCGGCTTGGAAGTCCTTCCTGCTGTCTATCCCCCATCCACCCCACTTCAGTCCCGGGAGCTTCGGGAAGATGGAAACACTATTCACAGTCCCCAGAACAATATCTAACCCAGAAAATAGTTCATGTTCGGCTCTTTAAAAATCACAGAACCTTTAAAAAATCGTTATATTTTTAAAACTGAGGGGCCGTGAGCAGAATGGTTAGCACACAGGCTTCCTAGCTGCCTGGCTGCCTGGGTTTGATGGAGAGCCATGCTCTCCAGCTGTGTGACCCTGGGCAAGCCATTTCGCCTCTCTGGGCCTTGGTTCCTCATCTGGAAAATGAAGTCGGTGATTGTACCTCTAGCTCCAGGAACAGGGCTGGCGCACAGCAAGCACTACACAGGGGTGAATACATGTGTAAAAGTGGCAGCCCGCACGCCCGTCCCTACCCTGCACCTGAGACCTCACAGGCTACATGATATGCTCATTTTTTCGGTCCACTGTGGGTCTCCCCCACTAAGACAAGGGCCTTTGGTTTGCTCCCCGACTTGCAGGGTCGAGCAGAGCCCGCCCTAGAGGGAATGAATGGTGCAGCGGCGGCTGGTGAGTCTAAGCCCCGCGGGGTTGCTTCCTCCTGCGTCCGGAGCACCTGCTGGGCGGGGAGGCAAGCTCCTGCCTTCTGGCAGGGCTGAGTTTCAAACCAATAATGAAACAGGCAAATAAGCGCGTCAGGAGGACAAGGAATGGGGTGACGGTCAGTCGGAAGTGGGGTGCTTTGGTTTGGTGTCTTGAACTCTGAGCCGGGGGAGGCGCCGGAACAGAAGCCCAGAAGGGAGACCAAGCTGGTCACTTTCCACAAAAGCACAAACCTAGGCAACTTGGAGCCCACACTGAGCTCCATGGCATCCTGGGAACAAACAGCAGGATGGCCCGACCCCAGAGTTGGCAGCAGCCGCTGCCCCTGTAAGGATGTGTGATCCATGTCCACCCCATCTGGGGCCCGAGGTCTCTGTGCGGCTAGGGTCCCGTGGGTCACAGCCTAACATGGCCTTGGACAGAATAGGTCTGGGGGCCCGGGCCTCAGTTTCCCTGTTTGCACAACAGATTCTGACGTTGCAGTATTTTAGGTGAGTGAGTGAGTGAGCAGGGCTCTGAGGTGGTCTCTGCAGGTGTCCTGTTTCCACTCCTGGGGCCGCACTGAGTGTCTGGGGGCTGGTAGGTGGCAGAGTGGGAAGCTGAGCCTGGGAAGGTCGGGCTGGGGTCTGGGTCTGTTCGTCCGTTGGCCGTGCGCGAATGTTTCAGTGGTAGCTCTGGGCGACCGCGTTTCTGGAGCTTTGCTGAGCGACTGCCAAGGCTCCTGCTCGTCTGTGTGTGTCAGCCTCTGACCCTGCCCTGTGGGCAGTGTCCTAGCTGTGAGCGGGTGTGTCCATGAGTGTGCAAGCCCCAGCGTGAGAATGGATGTGTGTGTGTGAGCGGTGCTGTGTGATCACACTGTGAGCATGAGTGTAACTGAGAGCAAAACTGTGTGTGAATATGAGTGTGAATGTGGAAAACACACAAGCATGTGGTGGCCTGTCTGCAGCTCTTCCCAGTGTGTGTTTCTGTGCATGTGGCCATGTTTCTTGTGTGTTTCTGAGTGTGGGTATATCTCTGTGTGTGTCTGTGCTTCTGTGCGTGTGTTCGGATGTGTCCAGCTCTGCATGTTTCTGAGTATAAGTGCGAATCTTGATATCAGTTGTATCTGTGTGTGTGTTTGTGTGACTCAGTCTGGAGTTTCCTTGGAATGTGGCAAAGGGAATGTGCTTTTCCTGGTGCTCTTTCCCCCCACACCCGCCATGACACACGCGTGTGCCCCGGGGCCTCAGACACAGAGCGGATGTGAGCACGGCTCAGGTGGGGGTTCCCTGAGAACCATTAGGTGTCCGCATACAGATAGAAAGAAGAGTGTGGGAAAGGGGCTAAGGCCCCATCAGGAAAGGGGCGCCCATGGGTTGGGGAGAGAAGCAGGGTGAGGAGCTGGACCAGGGAGAGACCCCACTGCTTTCTTGGTCTCTCAAGAAGGCAGGTCTGGGGAACGGAGAACCCCACCTGACGCAGTTGGCCCTTCAGCTCTGAGCTTGTTTCTCTAGTTACAAATCACAACCTCTGTCTTTGCTTGAGTGCTTACTACATGCCAGGCCGCCCTTGGCACTTCCCTTGCAGTGCCTCCGTTAATCAGCACAGCAATCCTCAAGTAGGTATTGCCACTACTCCCATTTTCCAGATGGGTACACTGAGACCCAGAGGTGAAATCACTGGCTCAAGGTACCACAGCTGTCATGTCCCAGAGGTAGGATTTGAACCCATGTCTGTCAGCACCACTCACAAGGGGCAAGGTTGTCCATCACCCACAGGACAGGTGAGGAGGCGGCCTGTGAGCCAATGTTGGGGACCGATGTGAGAGTGGGCACAGTTCATCCCTCCCTGCATCCACGTCTCCTCCTGTGATGTGAGTGGGCAGTTTCCCTGGCAAGGGGTGGAGTCTCTCCCCTCCCTTGAATCTGGGCTGGCCTTGGGACTTTCAGAGGCCACGAGAACACAGGGGAGATAGTAACGGCATGCCAGATCCGCACCAGGGCCTCAAGAGGCCTGGGGCCCTTCTGTCCTCTCCTGGAGTCCAACCAGGCTTTTGTGTGAACAGACTGGACAGCCTGCTGGTCAGTGTCACCACCCAGCCCAATCACTCCTGTTGCCCCAGCTGCCAGCCAGCAGAGCCCATCGCTGGCCACGGATCCACCACATGGTCCTGCTGAAACCATGTAACTGCCCACCTGTGCCTCGTTGCAGCAAACCATAGAACAATGATCTAAAAGATAGTTGGTATTTTGAACCCCAAGGCTTTGGCATGGCTTGTTACATGGCAATAGCTAACCGATACGCAGGGAGTGCCTAAGGAGAGGGCAGGATAGAGTGTCAAATATTATGATCAGTGATTCAGGAGCTTCAGATTGGTGAGAATTCGGATCTTGGAAGAGACGTGAACTCTGGTGGTTTTTTGTTTTTAAGACTTTATCATTTAAAAAAAAGTAGAAGATATCAGAGAAGGGAGGTAGGGGGAGAGAGAAGGGTGGTGGGCTGGGAGGATGAAGGGGACCTCTCCACGACGTCGGATCCGGGTGGCCCTCCTTCCCTGATGGTCCCAGTCGGCCTCCAACCCCCTCTTAGTCCTGGAAGCGGAGGACCCTGGCCACCTCCTTCTGAAGACCCAAGCCCTGGATCTCATCAGTTCAGGTCCCAGGCGGAGGTGAAGCGGAAGTGGGGCACAGAGCCTGCAGGCTTTGTCTTTGTCCTTGAGAGACCCTCAAGTGGGCACTCAGGCCCTCCATGTTCCGGTGGGGCCCCAGGGAGGTAGGCAGTGAGTTGGGGGGCCTTAGGAGGTGGGGTCCTGAGGCCAGAGGGCCAGGCAGGGACCGGGACCAGGTGTGGCCCTGGTGGTCCCAGTCTGGAGGCTGGGGTCTGCGGAGAGGGGAGAGAGGCCGAGTCAGGAGGTGGGGAGGACGGCTGCCCTGTGCCACCCTCCGGGCAGACCCACCAGCCCCCCAGGGAGAGGGAGGCAGACAGGTGCGGGGAGAGAGAGGCAGGGGGAGAGGTTAGGAGGAGAAGAGGCAGCCGGCAGGCTGGGAGGCAGGATGAGAAGCCCCCTCCATCTCTCTTAATCCCAGAGGCCCCTGGCCCTCAGGCCAGGCCACAGTGTCCGTGGTGGTCAGGGCGGAGCTGAGCCCCCCGCCAGGCCTGCGCACACCCGTCCCCTCCCCTCCGGGCTCCATGCTCTATGTCCAAGCCCTCCCGGTCTCCCCTCTCATCTCCCAGCCCTCCTGCTGCACCCACCCAGCTCCCCAGTCTCCCACCCCATCGTGCATGCCTATGTATATGTGTGGGGTCAGAGGGGGTCTTGTGGCATACGGTTTCTAAGGCCACCAGGCCTTTGCATATGCTGTTTCCTCCTCTCCTGTTTGCTTGGTTTCAGCTCCAAAACCCCCTCCTCTGGGAAGTCCTCTTTGAATGCCCCCTGCCTGAGTCTGATGCCACCTCAGGCCTCCTTCAGTTCCTGAGCTCCCTCATCTCAGCCCTGCCCACTCTGGGTCATCACCGTCTAGGGATGGGTCGGTGCCCCACTGAACTGTGAGCCTGTGAGGGCAGGATGGGACTGTCATGGCGTCCCCAGCACCACCCAGCACAGGGCTGGGCACAGAGGTACGTGGAGAATGTGTACTGAATGAATGCATGGATGGATGAATGGATGAGTGAACAGGTGCTAATCAAGGAGTTGGGACTTCATCCAGAGGGCACTGTGGAGCCACAGAAGGGTTTTAATCCAGGGCGTGTCGAGATCTGATCTGTGCTTTAGCAACTCCAGGCAGGCTCTCAACTCCAGGCCTTTGCACAGGCTGCTCCCTCTGCTTTCCTGCGCTTGTGAACCTGTGCAAGTGACCTCTTCTCTCTAAGCCTTATTTGTCTCATCTGTAAAATGAAAATACTACTAGTTTCTCCCTCTTGGGAGACTAGAGGTGTGAACTAGAGTTGTGAAAACTAAATGAGAAGATATTTTAAAGTCTTGAGACCCGGGAGAGTAGAAGAATGCACCCCGCTACCTTTGCTCCCCACTTCTACCTAGTGGACTCCTGTTCATCCTTCAATTCCCTGCCCAGAAGCTGCTTCCCCCATGGAGTCTTCCCCGATATCTCAGTGACAGCTGATGAACCCCGCCTCTTGAGTAAGCTGTTTTATTGTTTCACCTGTTGCACTGGACTGTTACTGGTTTCTGATATCCGCTTGCTCAAAAGCCCAGAATCTTCTCAAGAGCAGGACCCTACCTGGGCCATGTCAGGGCATGGAATGAGGATTTCATATATGTTTGGAGCTTTATATATGGATGGGTGGGCAGAAGAATGGGTGGGTAAGGAGGTGAGTGGTGGTGGGTGAGTGGATTAGTGTGGAGGTGGCTAGTTGGGTGGGTAGATGAATGAGTGATGGGGGTGAATGTATAGTTGGGTGGATAGGGAGTGGATATATGTCTGGATGGGTAGTGGATAGGGGTTATGATTAATGAATGGATAAATGTATGGATATGTATATATGAATGAATGAATGAATCATCTTCCCACCAAGCGCTGGAGGACCCTAAGTTCGGACACCCAGGCTGAGTCTGCCCTGGGTCTGCCCACTACTGGAGTCTAGAGGTCTTAGGAAGTTTGAGAGATGTACATCCCTAACCCGGTCCCCCTGGACACTGGACACTCACACATCTCCTGAATTTAGCCTCTATAGATAATGCCATTCTCCTTCTATGTTTAAACTCATCCCCATCGATCCTGGAAGGCAACAGAGGAAGGTTAGTGGGTCTTCATCAGACACCCCATGTGACCCCACGTCTCTCCCACACCTTCCTTCCCCAGGGGATCCGTCTGGAAGAACAGACTGAGTCATTATTTAAAAGGGTGCTGGTCTTCTAAGGAAAAGTGGAGGCTTCCAGTGGGTGGGTAGAGGCAGGAAGAAGCTAGCCAGCTCCCCGCTATGCAGACGAGGCACCGTGCTCTTCACGGACTTAACCCCAGAAGGTGGGCATCTTCATTCGGAGGAGGGGGCCTGCTGTGCTGGCGCAATGTACCTGGTGGCCTGACAGTCACATGCGGCTGAGACTCCGTGTAGCCCGCCACGGGCTGGCCCTCTGGGCTGAAGGCTGCACCCTGTCCTGTGATGGGGGGTTGAGGAGTTCAAGTTGAGCCCCAGGATACCTGTGTCCAGGCTTTGACACTCCCCTAGGAGCAGAAGGCCCTTCTCCCCACCTTCCCCTGTACCTGTGCGGTTGGATTGATCGATCATTGGCTGCACGATGCGTCTCCGAGCGTTAATGAACCTGGGAGGGGTCATGAGAATGTAGGAGGGTATGTGAAGAGGGCATAGGAGAGGGGCAGAAATGAACACAGACAGAGCTGGGAAGAGGGCACCGGATAAGGCCAGTAAAGAAGGCACGGGGCGAGGAGAGGCTCCGAGGGACTTCGAGCGTCCTTCAGCACCGCGGACAGAGCCCGGCGCCTGCCCAGCCTCCCGGGGCCCTCACCAGTTGTTGACTTGCAGGATGGTGAGCCCTGTGTCCTGGGCCAGCTGTTTCTTCTGCTCCTCCGAGGGGTACGGATGCTGCGGCCACCAGAAAGAGTCACCGTGCCCGCCCAGCCGCCATCTGACCCACAGGGCCTGCCCACCCCCAGGGATGGTGAGCCCAGCAGAGGCTGCGGCAGAGTCGGGAAAGTCAGCCTCTCTAGGCTCCCCTGGGCCCCATGGAGGGAAGCAGAGCCTGGCTTCGGGCAATGACGCCTGTGGGCGGCCCCGCCTCTCCCAGCAATTAGAGACTAATTGGCCACCTCTAGTTAGGGAGACAGAACTCTGGGTGGGAGGCTCCACTGCCCAGAAAGGAGGCAAACGCCAGCTCTCTGTGAGTCTCTGCCGGGGTCCTGAACCTATCTCTCTCCCGACCCCAGTCCGTCTTTGAGGCACTTTCTCTGACTCAGTCTCTCTCTGTCCCTGTCTTGGTCTGTTTCTCCCTCTGCATCCGGCCGATCCAGTCCTCTCATTATCTTTCTATCTCTATCATTGTCTCAGCCCCTGACTCTCTTCCTGTTTCTAGTTTCCCATCTCTCTCTGTGAGGCAGTGAGACCTCTGGGCCTCAGTATCCTCATCTGCAAAATGGAGCTATGTCAGCCCCTCCCTCACAGGGCTGTTTGGCTGGATGGTGGGTGAGTGCTGGGTGGTGAGCTGGTGGGCTCCTGAGTGGGGGAAGGGGAAGGTGAGTTGGGGGGAGGACTGCATGATTTACAAGCACTCAGCAACACCTGGCGCACAGGCAGTGCGTGGGGGTGCTCGCTGTCAGTCCCCGTCTCCTGGAGAGTCCTGCCATGTCTGCCCCTGCCTCAGCCTCCCATCTCTGGGTCTCTCTTGGGCCTCAGGCTGTGTGGCCACCCCCCCACCTTTCTCTATGCCCACCCCACGCCTGGGCCCCAGAGCCCCCACCGAGAGGTGCTGGAAGAGCCAGGCTCTCATGAGGTTGGTGGCCACCTTGGGGAAGATCCCCCTCTTCTTGCCCCTCCGCCGCTCCTGGTCCAGCTCCTCGTCCTCTCCCCCGGAGCTAGGGGAGGCCACGCTGGCATCCAGTCCGTCTCCTGAGGGGCACAGACACGCTGCGTTTGGGCACATGCTCTGCCAGGGTAGGGGCAGAGGGGCCCAGAACCCTCACCCAGGACACCACCCCACACCCTGGGCGTCCTGGCCCCTTGGAGGTCCTACTTGCTGTCTAACTTCAATCCTCAGACTGACTCCTACATTTCCCCCTCCCCCTCCCATGCTTCTCACCTTGATCACTGCTGTTGTCCCCACTCTGGGAGGCCAGGCCCCCGCTGGATGGCCCTGGGGTCCCCAGATGCACAGACCCACCGTCCTCCTGGTCTCTAATCCAGGTATTATTCTGGAAAACAAGAGCTGGAAGTCAGTGCCAAGGCTTGGGGCACAATACAGCACAATAGCCAAGTCCACGGGCTCTGGAGTGGGGACGCCTCAGCGTGAAGCCTGTCCCTGCCTCTTTCTGGGCTGTGCGACCTCGGGCAAGTCACTTTACCACTCTGTGCCTCAGTTTCCTCAACTGAAAAGTGGAGGACAATGAAAGCCCCCACCTCAGAGTGTTGTAAGGACTCAGTGGTTGGGTGAATGCAGGTAAAGGCATACAGTGAGTGTTCCATAAAGATGAGCTCATACAGATCTACGGCACCTTATCTGAAATCCTTGGGGCCCAGCACTGTATCAGTCAGCATTCAGAACTTTTCACATTTTTAGACAGTAAATCAGGACACACACCGTGTATTTCATAACACCCCCAGCAGGGCCTGGGGCATAACCTCGTCATCAAACTCATTAACATTCTGCAACAAAATGGATGAATATTTAACCAAGTGGAATAAATAAAGGCTATAAATAGCCTTTCATTAGTTCAGGTCAGATTTTTCTGCCAAATGAGTTTGCACTAAACTTATGGGGGAAAAAAAACAACTTCCAGTTTTCAGAGATCTGCAGGGGGCGGTGCTCAGAATTACAGGTCAGGGAGTCTGGGGCTATGTTTTCTTCATCCAAACACTTGACTCCGATGCACTTTGAGGAACTTGGCCCTGGCTTCACGCCCCGGCCCCAGCTGTGTCCCAGAGGCCCCCACCTGTACAGATGCCATCAAGACTTGTCCTTCGGCTGAAGGTTTGGCTCGATTGCTGGGAGGCCGATTGGGTGGAAACAGGCCCCGCCAGAGCTGAGCCCCAGGGTACCCCACCTGCCTGCTGATTGCCCAGGCCCCTGCCCACCGCTTCATAAGCAGTCCCTCCCCAAACAGCGCGGTGTCCCGCTGGAGCTCAGCCTAAAACCCAGCAGCTCAGTTTTCTCCAGGCTCGGCATCTGGGTGGGACAGCACGTTGGTGTGCACTGTGGGCAGCCTGTGGGCAGGCTGCAGCACCAGCACCTGTGAAAAGGCTTCTGAGCATCGCTGTAACCGTCAGCTGTGGTTTTTCTGGCACTGGATCGGATTGGATGCTGCAGGTGAGCACCCACATTCTTGTGCCTGAAACGTCATGGGACATGTGGCATGTGGCAGTGCACCCACATCTGTGCCCGACATGGCACGTTGTCCCTGGAGAGGAGGTGGCTGTGGCGTGGTGAGCAGCTACATGGCTGGAGATGAGCCACGTGGCATTGGGGCACAGGCGTGTCTCTCTGGGAGGGCCAGGTGCCTGTACCTATCCAAAGACCACATTTTTCTAAGCTTGCGGCTGTGGTTTGAGGGACTGGTTGTCCTATTTGTGAGATGGCAAGTGTGGGGTTACCATGCAGGGGGCTCTGTGAGAGTATCGAGGTGGGTGACTGCCGTGGGAGTGCATCAGAGGCTGTGTGAAAATACCGATGTGACGCCGCCTCCCAGTGAGTGGTCATCAGTCATCGCACCCATGGGGCTCTCGCCAAGTATGTGCATGTGATGGGCTGCATATTACGGCAGAGGATGTTCGAGGCCTGTGTGTGAATGCCGGGTGCAGTGTGCCCAAGTCCGCAGAGCTGGAGTATGACCGTGCACCTGCATCCGAGCAGGTGTCTTGTTGTATAATCACGGGGTATGTTGACAGTGTGACCCACACTTGTTGGGATCCCCACGGTTGTTGTGTGATTGTCAGTGACTGCATGGTAGTCTGACTGCATCTGAGACTGGGTGAATATGGGGCTGTGCGAATGGTGAGTGGCACGGGGTGTGCCTGTGCCTGCTGTCCGACTGTCACATGGTTAGGGCAGTATGTGTGCGTGTGCTTGCGTGCGCAGGCCCCATGGTCAGTCTGGGTCTAATTGTGGCTGTCTCTGAGTGTGTGTGGCAGGATCCAGGGCTGTTCGGCTCCATCTCCATCTGTGTGGCTGTCATGTGGCCCCACATGTACTTGTACGGTGGTCTCAGTCAGGCTGTGTGGTGCTGTCTGTGGCTGGGGTGTGTGTAAATATGAGGTGCATGCTGCTGCCTGGCTGTGAGTGAGAATGGCTGTCAGTGAATGTGCATAGCTGTAAGCTGTGTGTGAACCTGTGCTGGTGTAGCCAGGTCTCAGGGTGGTGTCTGCAGCAGTGTGTGTGTGTGCTGTTGCCCACCTGTGTCCTGGTCTGCAAGGCTGTTGCACAGGTGATGTATGCCCCGTGGTCAGGTGTTCTGCCTGGCTGAGATGTGTGGTGTGTATGCCCTCACGCTGGAGCCCAGCAGTGTCTGCACATGGCTTTGGTCGCAGGGTGATGCCTGGTGCCCCATCCCAAGCCCACCTGATCTGGGAGGCTGGGGCAGGAGGCCGGGTAGTCCTCGAGATCCTCCCTGCAGCCGCCATCCCGATCCTCGATGACCAGATCGATGGGCATCTTTCCCTTGAGGCAGGTGATGTAGCGGTGACAGAAGTTGTCGCACAGGTCGTGGACCTGAGGGGGCACCGGGGTACTGGGGGGGCCACCCGGGGGCCAGGGCTGGGGTGTATGGGGACGGGGGGCATTCTGCTCTAATTCCGTGGGTCAAGAGCCTACAGAGGTGGAGGGGGAGAGAGGGGACGGGGTGGGAGATAAGCGAGGGTGTGAGAGGGAAGATGTACTCACCTTCTCCAGCTCCAGCAGGTGGAACCGGAGCACCTGAATAGCCTGTATCATCTGAAAACAGAGACAGGAAGAGACACGGGAGGAAAGAAGGGAGGGAGGGAAGGAAGCAGGGAGACAGACAGAGAGAGGGGAGAGAGGGAGAGGAAGATGAGGAGGAGAAAGAGGAGGAGGAGGGATGAAGAAACGGAGTGAGATAGAATGACAAAGACAGACACAGAGACAGAGACAAAACCACAGGGCAGAGAGAAACAGAAAACAAAGACGGAGGCCCAGAATTAAGGGAAGAGAGAGTGGTAGATCGAGAGAGACAAAGGAAGGGAAGCAAGAGTTGCAAGACACAGAAAAGGGCCCATCAAAGAGGAGTGAACAAAGGTTTGTTATAATTCTTCACCTGCGGGCCCTCTGCTCCCACCCTTTGCCTGCAAACTACATTTCCCAGAGTCCTTTGCCAAAGGGTTTGGCAAATAGGAAGCAAAAGGAAGGGAGACGCCGGAGTATTTCCCCCTCTCCCTCTCCCCCTCCCTCTCCACTCCCCTCTCTCTCCTCTCCCCTTTGCAGCTAAGTCCCTGCACGCATTTGGCATGGGTTCTTTCTCCTGACTGATAGAATAGCTAATGTTTATTGAGTTCCCATTCTGTGCCTGACACTGTTCGGGTGGCTTGACTCTCTTGGTAACTGACTATATCCTCACAACAGCCTTGCAAGATAGAAATTGCTTCTAGTTACAGATGAGGAAACTGGTGCACAGGGAGATGGAGCTACTTGTCCTGGTTTACAGAACTAGTAAGTGGCAGAGCTGGAATTTGAACTCAGTGCCTGTTCTCAACTGCAAACTATACTGTATTGCAAATGGGGAACACTGATCACTATTTGAGAACGTGGGCCTGTCTCCTCTCTGTTCCCTCAACCAACCCCAAGGCCATGGGGGGGCAGCACAGGAGGCTCCCCAGGGAGGGCCCAGGTCTCACCAGATTGTCCAGCTCTGGGTTGGAGGAGAAAAGGGGCCTCTCGGAGCGGACCTGGGAGGAAGAGAGAGACCGGGGAGGGCCATCCTGTCCCCTGCCCGCCCCTCCTCGCTGGCCCTCCTGGTACACAGCTGATGGGGGTGCCCACCTGCTTGGCAAAGGCAGCGATGTCCTCATTGAAGGAATCGGAGGAGCAGACGTCACTGCCCTGGGGTGTCCCCAGCGTGGCCCCAGCCCCATCGCGGGGCGAGCACGTGGCCAGTTCACATTTCTTAAAGACCAGGGCCAGCAGTGGGAAGAGCGGGTGTCTGGGGGGAAGCGGGAGAGGAGAGAGCTCATGAGGGGTGGGCAGGGGGTTGCAAAGTATGAAGCAACTAGGAAGGGGACAGGAGACCCAGCGGGGAGAGATGGAGAGACAGACTGAGACAGAGAAACAGATCCAGACAGACAAACAAATGGTGGGGGCACAGCCTGAGACACCCCTGGAGCCCTCAGCCCCGTCCCCACTCACCCATAGATCTCATCCTTCTCTCTCCTCAGGCCATCGCTGTCCAAGCCTGCGGGCGGGGGTGGGGGAGGCCGGTGGGGGCCATAGGGCCCAGGGGCTCTTGGTGCTGAGGGCACTGCCTCCGGGAAGCCAGCCAGGGCTGCAGTGCTGTCCACGATGCCTGGGTAGGGGGGCAGCTCATCGTACTGGGGGAGGTGAGAGGGGAGAGCCCCAGGGAGGCGTCAGTGCCAGCCAGAAGCCTCCCTACCCTGGGACCCAGGAGATGGCCCTTCCCTGCCCTTCTGTTCCCCAAGTGTTCGGCTCTGCTGCCTTAGACCCCAGCTTCCATGCGGCTGTCTGGGTGGGACTGAGGGCCCTGTCCCTTGGCTTTCTCTTGTACTCCTGGCCTGTGAAAAGTGTCCCTTCGGAGATTCCTGATGTGTGGGCAGGAGGGTCCAGGGGAGGAAGACTGACCCAGGTTTGGGCTGTGAGGGTCAGGGATGGACTGGCAAAGGCCAGCTCCCCACAGTGAGGAAGGGAGGGGGCGGGAGAGGCATGCAGCAGGGAGACAGGGTGGAGGAGAGGGAAGGGGGTGGTGAGAGAGACGGAAAGAAAGGCACAGAGAGAGAAGCAGAGACAGAGCAGAGAGGAGAGAGGCACCCAAGATTCAGAAGAAAGGCAGAGAGAGGGGAGGTGCAGATCAAGGGAGACCAATGCCTGTAAGGGCAGGCATTGTTTATGCACCAACGACGGCGTCCAGTCTCTCCCCACTTCAGCTGCGTGTCACAGCTGTCATCTACGCCAGTCGGGGTATGACTTACCAACTTGTCACACCCCAGCTCCATGTGAATCCGCGGGCTCACACAGAGCCCAAGGCCGGGCCCAGGAAGGAGCGGGTGGGTGGGAGAATGACAGCTACCAGAGGCCGGCACAGGGCCCGGCACTTGTTGAATGGAGGATAAGCCCGCACGCCCGCACACACCCACTTGTGCCCACAGCCCAAAGAGAAGCGGGAGCACGCAGCAGGGTTTGAATCCTGCCATAACGGAAGCACCGCGCTGGGGAGGTCGGAAGGACCCTTAACACCACCCCTGTCAGACCCTCTCCTCGGACACGAGGAGGGTGAGGCTCAAAGAGGCAGGGGGGCTGGCAGGGAAGGAGGCCGGGAGCTCCCGCCGCCGCCGCCGCCGCGCCGAGGATGCGCACCACGGCTCCGGGTGCGTCCCCTTCCCTTTCACTTCCTCTTCTCCCAACTTCTCCTGAGCCCTGAACTTGCATCCAAGTGCTCCCCGCCGTTCCTCCAACATCCTAAGATGGGCGGTGGGGTCCTCACACCCTGGCCGCGTCGTGCCGCCTCCACCCTCTACGGTGGGCACTCACCTCCTCGCCTGTGCCCTCCGACCTCCCCCCCCCAGGGCCCTAACAGAAGCTCTTGGCCCGGCCTGGTGAGACCCACCTCTTCCAGCACCTTCCCCACCCCGACGGCCTCCGGAGGACTTCGAAGACAAGTAGACGGGGGTGAGGGACTGGGGAGGGGAAGGAGGGGCGGGAGGATAAAGGGCCACTTTGGAGGAGGAGACCCAGGGGCAGGAGAGGGGAAGGCCCAGGGCCAGGGGTGGGAGACCCGGGGCAGGGGGTGAGAGCAGGGGCAGAATGGGGGAGACCAAAGGGCGGAGGGGGCTGAGACCCAGAGGCACAGAGGGGGGAGACCCGGGACAGAGAGTGGGGAGACCCAGGGGCAGAAAGAGCAACGCAGAGAAAGAGACGGTGGTGGAGGCGGCATGGGCTGCTGGGGGCGCGCAAGAAGGGCAGATGGAGGGACGCGGGGGTGCGAGGACCGGCCGGGGCACCGGGGTGCCCGCCCTCAGACCTACCCTCCGGGCCATGGGCTGACGCCGGCGGCAGCTCGCGGGTCCCTCCGGGGCCTGGCCGGCGGGGGGGGGGCAGGAGGCTGGGCGCTCGGCCCCCCCACCCCCGCCGCCGTCAGCGGCCGGCGCCGGGCAGCGCGGGGGCTCCGCGCATGGACCCCCCGGCCCTCCCCGCGCGGGGGTCACAGCGAGGGGCTCATGCCGGCGAGCGGAGGAGTGCGAAGGCGGGAGGGGGGGGCTCGCCCGATGCCCCCTCCCCGGCCCCGGTGCCTCCCGGGGCGCCGGGTGACTGAAGCAGCCCGAGACGCGCGGACCGGGAGATGGGGGCGGGCGGGGCGGGGGGCCCAGCGCCGTGCGGCCCGGCGGCGGCGGCCGAGGATGCCGGCGGCTCCGTCTCTCCGCGCTCCCGGGCGCTCCCTGTCTCTGCGGTCACATCCGGAAGTGCCCCAGCGGAGATGCTTAACCCGCTGTCCGCCGGCGGCTCGGCCGCGGCCGCTCCCCTGCCCTCCCCCTGCCCTCCTCTCCCTCCTCCCCCTTCCCCTCCCCCCTCCTCCGCCCCGCCCCTCTCC